CCCTCCACGTTTACCTCCTACTCCACCCCAAAAAAAGACAGAAGCACTCTAGTATGTATTTATTCCATGTGAATGATAGCTGCAGCCTTATATTCCACATACCAGCAATTAGAAAGATTTACTAACAATTTGCCTGGAACTGACAATAACCTAAATGCTACTTACATAATTCAGGTGATTAGACTTTGCGGCTTTTGAGGATGTGTCTTTGAGAGTCGTGTAGTACATTCTTCTGAAGGTAGACAACGCTCATCTGTTGTCACAGTCATGGACTCCAGGGCCGTGAGAAGTATGCAGGCAGATTCTGTCCTTGCTGACCTCACCTAAGACAGCCCAGACACTGATGATTCCTTCTTCTCCCTCCCTAAGTATCTGTTTCTGAAACTTATTTCTGTTTATTTTTCTTCTGAACTTATATTAAGGGGGAAAAAACTTTTTAAAAAATGCTGTTAACTTTTGCAACAAAAAAAAATACTCATCCTTTGAAGACAAATGTGATTTCTGGAAACTGTCAAAAATCATTCAGCTGTAATCCTGGTGAAGAAGGTAGGAGATGTTGAATAGTGCCGTATTTATAAAAAAAAGAAGAAAAAAAAGAGGTGTGAGATAAAGTTGTAAGACTGATTTTGTGAAGCTGATAAATTGGCCCTGAAGGCAGTGCTAAAGGAGCCGCCTTAAAAATATTTGAGGCAATGGGAATATCAGTTTTAAAGAAAAGCATTCATTTGGCTATTTGTGTAACTCTAATCAGGAAGGCAGGGTGCTGGAGCCATCAGGGCAACGAGGAAGCAGTGATGCCAGTTCCTGTAATGAGGCTATCTGTGAGGTCCCTCCCACTCAGAGGCTTTCTGTAGGCAATGTAGAAGATTAGGGAGAGCCCTGGCTGGAGCTGTCTGTGTTGGTAAGACAAGAGAGTGGGATGAGACCTTTTGGTAATGGAGCAATTCTGTTGACTCTGATTCTCTAGGTGGCTTTATCTATGTGAATATGTCTGTTTTCTGCTTTGCTCTGCCTGCCTTTGAGGGAAATCTTTCGAAATCTGAAAGCCCTCTGAGGCTCTAAGCACAGAATCCAATGAAGGGCTGAAGTTTGCCTTGTTCTCTCTGGCAAGCCTGCTCTACAGGTCATGGGGGGAAAATATGTTTGTGAAAAACATGCACGCATGCGCGCACACACACACACACACACACACACACACACACACACACCCCACCCCACCCCCACCCCCTCCAATTACTTTATGTGTCTGACTCAGTACAGAATCTTAGAGTTGTGGAAGGAGCCCAACAGGCCATCTGGTTTTTTTTATTTATTTATGCACACATACCCACAATTGTTTGTATGTATATTATATATATGTACATATCTGTAGGTATAATTATATATTGAAGATAATCATATATAATTATATATAACATGTCATATATAAATATATATAACATATATCATGATATGTTTTTTATATATTTATAAAAATATAATTTGTTTGCATGCTGTCTGCTTTATTGGACTGTGAGCTTCCTTAGAGCAGGAACTGGTTTTTTGCATTTTTTGTAACTCTGGAACATAGCACAGTACCTGGCACTTGGTTGGACCCTAATAAATGCTGGTTGATTGATTGACATTAAAATAAGGGGGTTGTATTAAATGACATCTGAGCTTCCTTTCAGCTCTAAATTTCTAATCCACTGGTTAGAATCAGAAGATCTGGGTTCAAATCTCAGTTCTACTACTTATCTCTTTGATCTTAGGTAGGTCACATAAATCAGGCAGCTAGGTGGCACAGTGGATGGAGTACCAGTCCTGGAGTGAGGAAGACTCATCTTTCTGAGTTCAAATCCAACCTTAGGTGTTTACTAGCTGGGTGACCCTGGGCAAGGCACCTAGCCTTGCGTGCCTGGAGAAGGAAATGGCAAACTGCTCTAGTATCTTTGCCAAGAAAAACCCCAAATGGGGTCACAAAGAGCTAAACATGACTGAACATCATCCTCCTTCATCATCTCTGTGCTCTAGCCTACCTGGCCTGCTTGGCACTCCCCACACTTGACATTTTATCTTTTTCCTCCCCTTTTTCCTCCTTGTGCAGGCTGCCCCCTCCCCTCCACTACCTGGAATATTCTTCCTCTTCACCTCCACCTCTTAGTCAGAATCCCAAACTGTCTGATATTCCCAAACATTTTTTAAGCCATCTCTTTTAGAACTGCTAGTTTATAAGCTTCAAAATCAGTCTTATAACTTTATCTCACATCTTTTTTTTTTCAGTCCATGTGCCACTACCTACAGGAAGCTTTCCTTGATTTCCCCTCTAGTGTTCCCCACCTCTCCAGAAGTATCTTTGTATGTGCACTTTGAATGTTAAGATATTTATAAATGTGACCATTTATGGTATTTTATGATAAGACCACTAACTGGCATTAATGTCACAGAGCTGGAAAAGGCAGTTGGGGTCTTCTAGTCCAAATCCCTGATTTTACAGGTGAGGAAATAGGCCCAGAAAGGAGAGGTAGGATTTGAACCCGGATCTTCTAGGAGTGCCATGTTCTTTCCAATACCACCACATTCCTCCTCCATGTGTCTCTTATGTGATCTAAATAAAATATAGGTTAAAAAAAAGTAGAACTTCAAAATGGTAGACTCCATGTTGAAATAATTCAAGCTTATAAACTTAGAGCCAGAAAATGGACCTTGGAGATAATTTGGACCAGCTTGTCCATTTCACAGAGAAAGAAGCTGAGTTCAAACAACACATGCAGCTTTTGAAATGTTCGATATTGGAAAACAGAACAGCATTTTTGTCCAGAGACACTGGAGAGGAATTTTAGTCTTAACTCACCTGTGTTCTGCCACATCTGTGTGATTTTGGGAACGTGCTTAACTTGTATGAGCCTCATTTTCCTCTTTTGCAACACAATAGTGTAGGGCTAGAATTTCTAAGGATTCTTCTGGCTTGACATCAATCGCCCTGTGTAATCTTACTTCAAGGTGAGAAGAGTTTATATGAATACTCATTTATCCAGAGGCTGAGGATGATGCAAAGGCCACATAGTATAGTGATGCTGGGCGTCACCCACCTCTCTGAACCTGTTTCTTCTGTGCAATGAGGAAGCTGAACATCTAAGATCCTGATCCTTCCAACTCTACCAAGTCCTGTGATCTTAAGAAGATGTGTAGCAACATGTGTGTCAGTTAGCAGTGTATTGTACTCAAGAAAGCCTAGGAACAGATGAATATTTTATTCCTTAGGTTATATGCTATCCTTTTCTTTCCCCTCCCTTCCTTTTCTCTTCTTTTTTTTTTTTTTGAGGCAATTGGGTTTAAATGACTTGCCCAGGGCCACACAGCTAATAAGTCTCTGAGGCTGGATTTCAATTCAGGTCCTCCTGACTCCAGGGCTAGTACCCTATCCACTGAGCTACCCCTATGCTGTTATTTTTTACCAGCATAATTTTCATTAGGAATAAATACATAGGAATGAATATGTAGTAGATAAATATTAGGAATAAATGTGGCAACTTGGATGTCAAAGGAAGAGAGAGGAACAAACATTTTTTTTAATTTAAAATTTGTTTTTTCCTTGAAGGCAGGGACTGTCTTTCTTTTGCATTTGCATCCCCAGCCCTTGGCATGGTGCCTTACAAACAGTATGTGCTTAATTCATTCATAGGTCTCTAAGAATCATGACTGGGCCTCTAGCAGGTGCCCTCATAGCTCCAAGGGGCCCAGGAGATTTTCAGGGCAATAGGGTGTCACCAGTATTCTTCCCCAACATTTCCCAAATTGGAATCCAGCAATTAAATACGTGAGGTTCTTCTAACCACAGAGTGGGTGAGGCAGGGGGAGTCCTCACATAACATACAGAGCAAACAGTGGGCTTGGGTAGGGTGTGAATGATACAAGCTGTACCAGGGTATAGACCCATTCCAAAATAGAGAAACATCTGCTGCTGTTATGATTACCAACTCCCTAAGTAACAGTGCTTGTGCTGCCTATATAATAGGATTAGTAAGGACTCAGTAAATGTATATCATTTTGAATTACCTCGGAAGCCCAGAGGTGATTGGATATCTGGATAGGGAAGACAGTCACAGAACAGAAAGCATAGGGCTCAGGAGAGTTGTCATTTGGTATATTATCTCATTTGATTGTCACAACAACCCTGGGAGGTAGATGCTATTATTATCCTCATTTTACATTTGGGGAAACTGAGGCAGAAGTTAAGCAACTTGCCCAGGGTCACACAGTTAGTAAAGTATCTGAGGTCTTTAAACTTAGGTCTTCCTGACTCTAGGCCCAGCATTCTATCCATTGTACCATCTGGCTGCCAAAGGACCTCAAGTGTACATGCCATGAGATCTCAGTTAAAGGAATTGGGGGTGCTTAGTGTGGAGAAGAGAAGGCTCAAGGAAGACATCTTACCATTTTCAAGAATATGAAGGGATGGCATGTGGAGGAGGGACTAGACATTTCATTTGGCCAGAGGGCAGGGTCAGGGACAGTGGTTGGAAGTTGCAGAAGCAAATTTAGACTTGATATCAGGGAAAACTTCCTAATAATCAGAGTGACAAAAAGTGGAATTGGGTTTCTGGAGAAATGGTGGACTCTCTCTCCTTATAAGTCTTCAAACAGAGGCTGGCCTTGTCCAGCGTGTTGTAGTGGGGATTCCACATATTCATGGGTTAGATTAGATAGCTGTGAAGGCCCCTGCCAGCTCTCATAGATGGTGATTCTGTGATGCTATGTCATTTACTCAAATGTGTATACTTTCAGTTGAAACTTTCTGCTGTATATAAAATGTTAGATAAAACACATGACATGTTGCTGTGTTTGTTAAACATGTGTTTTGCATGGTAGAAAGTCTCATGTTTCAAAATAATGTCATTCTGCCATGAAATTTTAAAGTCATTGATCTGGGTGTGGGGAGGGATACAGTTTACCATTTTAGAAATATAATGATGGTTTGATTCAATCCATACAAGATATGTGGTGCTTTTATTTTTAAGGTCTGGATGAATTCTGTTACTGAAATAACCCAAAATGATCTATGTGCAGAAGACATTGATTCCTCACCAGGGGAACTGTTCTACTCCGTCACCCTTCCCAGCAATGGTCACTTGGCTCTGAAATCTTTTCCAAATACAAGCATCCTGAATTTCACCCAAGCTCACATCAATGAGGGCCACCTAGTGTTTGTACACACCGGTATGTAGTTAAGGGGGAAAAAAGTAATACTTTAAAAAGTATTACTTTAATTTTAAAATGCCCTTTTATTGGATGTTTACCCTAGCACTTAAAAATTGTCTTTGTCTTAGACCCAAGAGTACAAGCTACCTAAATCCTTTCTAGGATCTGTACTAAGAACCATGCAGTAATTTTTAGTAATGTTATAGATAGTGGTTTTTTTGGGGGGGGTAGTTATTCGCAAAACTTGCATTCAAATTTTTACCAACTTTTTTATCTTCCCTCTCCCCTTTTAATTTAAATAATTTGATGACCAGCAGAAGGTGGAAAAGAAAGCCTTTTAAGCCAAAACAATTATTTCCTTACCCTAAGGATGATTTGGACCCACTGGTCTGTAGAAAAAGTCGAACTTGATTTTAGGCAAGTATTTTAAATTAGTTTGAGAATTGAAGTAGCACATTCCCTGCATGAAATGAGTGATGGGATGGAGAGTAGGGGAAAGGAATAGGAGGTGGAAGTAGGGGAGGGGAGGAAGACTTAGCAGAATGGGAAGGATTTTGAGTCAGATCAGTGTATTTTTATTGCCTTATATGAAAATGCAAATTCCCAGGCCATTATATCCCCACATTCAAATATGTGTAAAACAACTTCTAAAGCCCAAATACAAGGGGTATATTATCTGTCTTTGTGAATTATCTGTGCTACTGCTTCCTTCCATTAACCAAGACGATCAAGAGTCAACTATCGATTCATCCAGTCCATTCTATTTAAATTTGCTCGTGTAATGCTTGTGCAAAACTCAGTTTACCTTTACAGAACTTAAACTGTTTTTTCTTCTGTGAAATGAAAGCCAATCGGGGAAGAAGGGACAATTTTCTCGATTGTCTGTATGAACCATGAGTTGCGCTAACATGACTGTAACCCAAAGTTTAAAACATGATCCAGAATGTATAGTAGATGCAGGCTGCAGTTTTTATAGCTTCCAAGATGTCAGCGTCCTCGTGTGAGGAGCACGGGGTCTTGGTAGCATTAATGCAGTCCCAGGATTATGCTATATGCACACAGGATGTTAAATCTTTACAATTTTCTCCTGAATAAGCATCTTGATGCAGCTTCCCAATTAAAAACCTTCAAAGAGTTGGCTAATATTTCAAGTTGTCAATATTCAATTTAGCTTTTAACCAGATTACAAAATCATTTTCCATTTTTTATAACAGTTGGAAATAAAGGTAGTAAGAGATTGAGGAAGGTAAAACACGGATTCCAGACCACTTTGAATGCTATTAGCAATCCTCATGTTGACTCTGAAAATGTAATGGATTGGCTCTTAACCACAAATGTCTCTGTTGCTTAGAACAGCTGGCCAGCCCACTGGTGCATCAATCCATTATCTGCCACCCAACAAAAGAGTTTTTCTTCATTTGCCTTCATACCATTTTATATTTGCAAAGTGCTTTGCCATTAATCTAATTCATTATTCCACATAGCCTCCCAAGTAGGTTGATGAAATCAAGACTTGGGAGGCTAAGTGACTTACTTAGGGATCACACAGAAAGCTTGCATCTGGATGGGGTTGTGTGCCCCCTTAGTTTCCCATCTGTTCCTTACCACAGGACCACACAGCTTTTATATCTCTTCCTTTACCTTAATTTTTGTTCTAATTAGCCTGGGCATCGTGTTGTGTCTGGTATCATATTCCAGCATCTGTCTTGATATAGTTCTTTTTTTTGACTAGTCTCCATTTTGTTTTTATATTCATAAAATGTCCTGACTATAAAATGATAAGGAGTCACTTTAATTTCAAGCTTCATTATATACAACTTTCTCAGTTCCATCGTACATTGTAAATACGACATTTGACTCTGGTTTCTTGCTCTCAGGTAGATGAAACACAGGCTTCTCACTTTTATTAGAGAGTTTTTGAGTTTACATGGGATTTTTTAAATAGTCTATAACCTTTTTATATGGCAAAAGAACTAACTTGGCTTGATTGGATAATGAGAACCTGAGAGGCCTGTTAGACTAGGGAGTTGCCTTTACGAAATACTTTTAATAAGCAAATACATGCTCATGATGGAGCTGCAGCGCCTGGTGGTGCCCTCCTTCTGCCTTTGCCACACAACCACCCGGAGGGCAAGTGAGCACATGAGACAAAAAAAAAATATGGCTTTTCCAAGCCTGCTGTTAAATGAGCATTTCTTAGAGGATGAAAATAATGTAAGCATTTACATTTGTAAATCTTCTATTTGACTTGAACTTTGGGAACAAGGCTAGTAAAGCTGTCCTGGAGGAAGTCATCAATCTGGGCTCTTATTCTCAGATTCAGTTTTGCTCAGATGTTAATTTATAACCTTGGAAAGATCACTGATCCCCTCATAGAAGTAAGGGAGATTATTCATCTCTTTTACTATGTGTATTTAGTAGAAACACATAGATTGAGACTGATAAACAATTAGAACTGCTGACAATCCTTAAAATTTTCCCCTATAATCATCCCGCAACCTTCCCGTTGCCCCATTTCTTGCCTTCAGTAGTTATTACTAATTATTTGTACCAACAAATACTTGGCCTTGTGTTTGTAGTTCAAATAATTCCTGGAAAACCTACTGGCTTTGGATTCACAGGGCCTGGTATGACCTTGGGTAAATCATTTAACCTCCTTGGGCCCCATTTCCTCATCTTTAAAATACTAAAAGGGTTAGACTAGACCTCTGAGGTGCCTAAGATTCTATGAATCTGTTTGAAAAACTTAGTCAGTGCTAGTGACTTCACTACAAAGGGTTTACATAGTCACTGCTTGTCCTACTAAGTTACCACAATATGTAAAAATATGTGTGCATGTATGTAGATTTGCATACACAGATATACATACATATACCCATATATATACTTTTCAAACCTTCAGTTATGCCCTTTTAAAAAGTATCTTTTAAAAACTGCAGTATTTAGCTTTTGTGTGCTTACCCTCTGCCTCCCTCTTTCACCTTTAACAGACAAGAGTATGATTTGTAAGAATTTGGTTTTGTTGATTAACTGAAGTGACAAGGATGCCGTTTTTCCTTTTACAGGAGCAATGTCTGGTGGCTTTAGCTTTCAGGTTACTGATGGCTTGAACTTTGCACCCCGACAGATTTTTAGCATCACAGCTCAAGTGCTGGTTCTCAGTCTGGAAACAAACAAAGGACTGGGAGTCTTTCCAGGTAAGACTGAAGTGAAGGGAATTTTCAGGGTTAAGTTTATACATTCCATTTGATTAGAATGCTCCATTTACATAGTCAGAATGTGCTATTTTTTGTCATGGAGAGATATGGTGAATTGTGCACATAGTTTCCTATGTCTGTGTTTTGAACTTAAAGCAGGATTTTTTTTTCTTTGTAGGAATTTAGCCGAAACTAGTCTTATTGCCCTTTTCCAACCCTTTCCTTCCCACTCTATCCCCCCAATCTCATTTAAGCATGCAATAGGCACTTGATTTGATGTCAGAGGACCTGAGTTCAAATGTTAACTCTACCACTTACTTGCTGTGTGTTGTTGGGCAAGTGACTTAACCTTCCTAGGCCTTGGTGTTCTCATCTGTGAAAATAGCAGGTTGGACTAGACAGCCTTAGGGGTCCTTTACAATTCTTGATCTATGATCCCATGATCTTATTAAGTGCCTACTGCATACAGTACTGTGCTTGGTGCTGGGATAGATACAAAGATCAATAAGATATGATCTCTGTCCTCAAGAAGCTTAGACTATACCAGAGATCAAGTAGATGAATTGACCTCTGATAGAGATTAGAAGGCTTTGTGGAGGAGGGAGCATTTGGACTGAGCCTAGAATGGTAAAATGTAAACAGGCACAAATTACGTGGGAAGGGTGGATGGGGCATTCTGGGTTTAGGGGATGGTGATTAGCAAACACACACAGGTGGGAAGGTTGAAAAAAATGTTCAGGTGATGGCAAGTAGTCCAGTTTAGCTGGAGCATCGAGTACATCACAGAGAGTAGTTTTATTCAGCTGGAAAAGTGGGCTGCAGCCAGATTGTGGAGGGCTTTGAATACCAGGCAGAGGTGTTCAGACCCTTCATAGCTTGGCCCCTTCTTACATTTCTAGTCTTCTCACATCTTACTTCTCTCCATGTTGATCTGGTGACATTGGCCTTCCTGCGGTTCATTACATAGGCCGTGCTATGTCCAGGCTTTGTGCCATTTCATTGGCCATTCCCTATTCCTGGAATGCTCTTCCTCCTCAACTCTGCCTCTTGTTTCGTCCAGTCTCAGCTAGAGTCCCTCCTTCTGCAGCATTCCCAATCCTTCTCACTGAGGCCTTACTTCTAAGATTATTTCCAATATATCCTGTATGGTTGTACACAGCTGTTTGCACATTTTCTCCCCCCATTAGACTGTGGGAACCTTTTTTTTTTCACCCTTCTTTGTATCCCCCACTGCTTAGCACAGTGCCTTACACAAAGTAGAGGCTTAATAAATGTTTATTGATTTGACCAAGGAGTCTGTACATTATTCAGTCAGTCATTAATGTAGAGCTATTAAAAGTTGGACTAGGATAATGGTGTGATCCGAGCTGTGCATTAGAAAACTTAATTTGTCAGTTGTTTTGCCAGATGAGTTAGAACTAAGAGACTGGAGGAGGGGACAGAGTATCAGAGGCTATTTTAATAGCCAAGGTGAAGGCCAGGGAGGTGGGATTCTAACTGTGAACTAGGGCAGTGGCTGTGGGGATGAATAGGGAGGGAACAGATGGGAGGAATGTGCAGAGATATAATCAACAAGCCTTGGTTACTAATTAAAATGGGTGGGGATGGGAGGTGAAGAAAGAGGAATCAGAGAGGAATCCAAGGTTATTAGCCTGGGTGAGTGACCAAGGAAATTGTGGTGCCATAGACAGAAACAATGTATCAAGAAGAAAAGCTGGTTTCATTTTAAAAAATAATAATGACTCATTTTTCAGGCCATTAGGGTATCATTTTATTAAAAACTACTTCAGAGTGGTGAGGTATCTCTGCACTGATGACCTAAAAGTGATAAACTTAGAAAATCTGGCAGTAAAAAAAAAAATTGTGTTCTGAAAGATTCTTCAACTAAAGAAGAGACTTTTGAAATAACTTAGTCATTAAGATTGTAGCTCTGAAGGTAGAACCTTGTCCAACCCTGGGGTTTTATGTTTGAGGAAACTGAGGCCCAAGGAGATCAAAAGACTTTGCCCAAATTTATAGTTATTCGATGGCTTAAGCAGGATTTGAACCAGGTCCTCTGATTCAAGAGTCAGCACTTTCCACCATGCTGCTTCCTTTATAGTCCCATCTCCCATTTTGCAGATGGAGAGATTGAGTCCCAAAAAGATTATGTTTTTTTGCTTAAGGTCACAGATAGGCAAAGACCTGTTCAGATTAATTTAGATTCTTCATTGTGTTGTGGCCACATTTTTAGATTCTGTTTCATTCATTAAGACAGTAGTATGTTTAAAGAGAAAGGTACACGGCCACTATAATTAGAGAGACAAGCCTTTTGGATTTCTATTACTCATTCATAAAAATAGACACAAAAAAGAAAAAAAAATGACCGAAATTCTTACCTCACCACTGATTATCCTGAAGCCCTCAGGTATTTCATGGTTTCTGCATACAGCCTAAAACATCTACCATGCCCTGTATCTGAATGTCCTTTCCTTCTCTGACTTATTAAGAGTCCTTCCTCTTGAAATCACATTTTTTCTGCAGAGTCTTTCCTGACCATATGAGAGGAAGAAATTATTCCTCCTTTAATTTAAATGAGAAACTCACACCAAATTATAAAGACAACACCAAAATTCATTCAAACTTTTATACATTACCATATACTAATTAATATAAGCAGACCTTTTAAGTTTTTTTTGGGGGGGGTTTTGGGAGGGTTTTTTTTTAAAGCACTTTTAACAACAACAACACTTCTCCTAAACTGAGAATTGGTTTAAACACTAGGTGTGGTGGCATAGTAGTCTTTTGCACGCTAGCACCTATGGGCCCTGATCCTCATGGTCTATGGTTATTTCTCCATATTGCTATTTAAAGCCACAACTGATAGATAGAGGTTACCTTCCCAGAAAAGGAATCTCTCAGTGGCTGTTCACATTGGGCTGTAGAAGCAGAGTAATGGATCAGAGAATGTTGTGTTCCACCTCAGCTGACCCAGATGGTGTTATATTTTTTTTTCCTTTGGTGCATAAGGAAGAATACTTTTTTGGTAAGTATAGATTGAAACTTGAGTTTTTATAGGAAAAAATAATCAGTCTGCTAGATTGCCTTGTACAAGGCAAGATAAAATAGTTAATTCACTATCTAATAAAGTAAGATAATAGATTTAGAGCTGGTAGGGACTTTAAAGGTCATTTCATCCAATCTCTCTCATTTTACAGATGAGAAAATTGAGTCCCAGAGAATTGAAATGATTTGCCCAGGGTCACACAGCTAAAAAGTGTCAAAGTCAGCATTTGAACCCAGATCTCCAACTCCAGATCCAACATTTTTTCCATTAAACCACGCTCTTTACTTTCGTTTTGTTTGCCCATTTTAGAATGCAAGTTCCTTGAGATGAGAACTATAGCTGGTAATCAATGACAATATTATGTATTCAATTATTATATTATTATCAATAATATTATATAGGTCAATAGGCACTTTGAAAAGATCCCCAAGAAAGAAAGTGGTATAACTAAAAGGTCCTGGAAGGAATTGTTCCTGTTGACTGAACATGCCCAGGTAGACTCGTTGTACCAAAGACAAAAGGTAGAATAAGAGCATTGCTTAGGATAACCCAGCCAGCATGTGGCAGGTGTGGGTGTGGAATGGAGACCTTCCTGGCCATTGGCTCTATGCTTTGCTTCTTCTGAGTGTCTTACCTGACAGAAAAGGGTCCTCAGATAGACCATTCATCCACCTGGCATGGAGACAAGCTTAGGTTAAGAAGTAGTTCTGACCCCTAATGTGGGCTTAGGTTCTAACAATTAGGAGGCAAGAAGGGGAGAGAAGTGAATGTTACAAAGGAGTAAGGGATGAAGAACCAATATGGAGGTTAATAGCTAATGTTTCTATAGAGCTTTGAGGTTTGCAAAGCATTTTACATTCTTATTTGTTCCTCCCTAGAACCCTGTGAAATAGGTGCTATTATCATCCCCATCTTACAGATTGGGAGACTTGGGCTGTGAACTTGTGAAGTGGGTTGTCCAGAGTCACATAGCTAATGTGGATTTGACCCAAGGTCTGATTCTGAGCCCAGTGCTCTGTGCGCTATCCCCGACTGCCTCTGTGTCAGGACCTCCTCCTTCAGAGTGTCACAATTCTGTGACCTCCGGCATAGACACCCTAAGACAGGGTTTGGAAGGATTTTGGCAGCCACTGGTTTTAGGATATATTATCTTCTCTCTCCAACATTTGCTGAATTCTGTATTTTAAGAATTCTGGCAGCTTGTAATATAGCTCTTTACATGGACACACACAAAACACAGAAGTACACACACAGACATAGCAAAAGCCACTCAAGTATCCAGATTCTCTGAAAAAGGGGCTCTTAACCTGGGATCCACTGACCCCTTGGATTTCAGGAGAACTGTGAATTTGAATGGGAAAAAATTACATCCTTATTTCCTCTAATCTTTAAAAAAATTTGGAATTTCCTTCAGTAATTTAAAAACATTTTGTTGAGAAGAGGTCCAAAGTCTATACCTAACTGCCCAAGAGATCTATCACATACACACAAAAAATATTAAGAACCCCTCATCTAGGATAGAGCTTCACTATAGAGGTCTCACTCACCCTGCTGTTACTGTACTCAGTACTCAGAGGAGTGTGTTTGAGGTATGGCATTAAAAGCAATCAATCAGCAAGTGTCTGCAGAGCACCTACTATATGCACAGCTCCCACAAAAGGTATTACTCCTGTAAGGGAAGAAAGGGGCTAAAATCTCAGTCTGTTGAGAGATGTGAATTCTCCTTACAGCCTGGCCATCCTGCAGTGTTCTAGATGCCATTTGATATCTGTTTAGGAATCAGCTAGGTGGATAGAACCCTGGGCCTAGAATCAGGAAGATCTGCCCTCTAGCTATGATGGGAACCTTCTGGAGTGACTTTACCAGGTTCTAGAGACTCCTATAGTCTCCTATAGTCACTGCCTCTCCTCTTTTCTTGGTTCATTTCACACTTATTTACCCAAAATGGTTTTTAGGTTTTAAGGAAGGACAAAAGAAATAGGTACTTCTAGTGATAGGGTCACCCCACAATATGGACGTGCTAAGACTGTCTTCCAGAAGAGGTATTGCCTGCTCTTGGTGCTGCTTCTGTTTGTCAGAGTCCAGATCCTGTTGGCATCAGGCCCTGGGATCTGATCTACTTCTTTTTGTACCTTCTGCCCTGGAGACATCCTCCTCACTGTAGCCTGCTGCAGGCAGGACAGGAAAAAGAAAAATTCGACTTGACATCCCCTCTTCTCTCCCCCTTTTGATTTCTCTGGCCATTTTCCTTTGATTCTACCTATTGCACACTACCCTGGTGCTCTGGTTGGTACAGATAAGAAAGGCAAAAACAAAGTTTAAATTTTAAATTTCAAAAGGATGGACCTCAATGCAGCTAGTTTGTAAAGTTTGGATTCAGTCAAAGGGCCGCACTTGAGGACTTGGAGGGCCTCATGTAGCCTCCAGGCTGCAGGTTCCCCACCCCTGATAGGTGGCTCAGGAGATAGAGCACTGGGCCTGGAGTCAGTCAGGAAGACCTGAACTCTAATTCAACCTCAGACACTTATAAGCTATGTGACCCTGGGCAAGTCATTTAACCTCTGTTTGCCTCAGATTGCTAATCTGTAAAAGGAGGATGATAATAGCACCTACCTCCCAGGGCTATTTGTGAGAATCAAATGGGATGATATTTGTAAAGTGCTTAGCCAGTACCTGGCACATAGTAGGTGCTTAATAAATATTTGCTTCCTTCCTTCAGTTGAATGGGAGGGGGATAAGAGGGGAGAACAAGAAACGGAAAGATTTCTTTTTATTTAAAAAAAAAGGCTGAAAAGATTATCCTGAATTTTAAAATTTTATGTTTTAAGTACAGTTAATTTTTTTTAATAAAAATCAGCTTTGTTTTATTTTCTTTAGCTTGATGAATAAAATGATTAAGTATTCAATTAAAATAATTCCCTGAGGGGACACCCTAACGAAACATGCAGCATATGCCTAGGTCAGCTCCGCAGCTTAGGAGCCAGTTTGGAAACCCTGGCCAAAAAACATGGGAGTGGGGGGTGGGGGGAGGGAGTTCTGCTTTGGTAGGTTGCTACAGTCAGCCTGGGGGTGGGGGATGGGGAGAGGCTGTTACCCTCTTCAACGTTATTGGTAACAGCTGCTGCCTTCCCTGCCCTACAGATCAATTGTCCTGACCTGGTGATTGTGGTAACAATTAGTGTGATAAGGAGACAAAGGGGGAAAAGGAGAAGTGGGAAGGTTGATGCCCCTCCTCCTGCATAAATCTTGGGGCTGAAATAATGACATTGGTTGATGTCTAGGAAGGGTAGAATTCAGACCTGGTTTTGACTTTGTGAAACTTGGCTAGGAGCACAGAGCCACGTGATCCCACCTTGCCCCCTGCCTCCTCGAGGCACCCTCTTCTCATTCCTGTCACCATCAGTTCTGAAGACCTGCAGATGGCAGTGGTTTCAAGGGTTTACAGAGGCAAGAGAGTCTAGGAGGCAGTTTGTAATAGGAAATGTGATGTGTAAAGGTTTTAACCAGCATAGAGCTGGGCTATTCCTAAGCCTGCGATAGTCCCACCTCTATCCCCAGGATTAAACTCCCCATCTCAGAGGCCAAAGCATTTTTAAATGGAGGACTGAGAGAAAATACTTTCAAATGTTTAGAAGGCTCCAGCCCCAGAGCCTTACTTGGCCTGTAGCGTAATAGCTGTTTTGGGCTCTTAGATTTGTGATTAGATTTAAGTAGTAAGTCTGGCCATCTCAACACAGTGGGAAACACCTACTCCCTTGAATTAAAGTGGCTTTAATGAAATAGATGAACTGAGGCTGTCATTTAAAAGCTTTGTTTATGGCATTAAGATTACTCAGCAAGTATTTACAGAGCACCCACTGTGTGCACAAATCCCACAAAAGGTATTACTCCTACAAAGGAAGAAAGTGCCTAAAATCTTGGGCTGTCTGTTGAAAGATATGAATTCCCCTTAGAGCCTGGCCATCCTGCAATGTTCTAGATGCCATTTTTTGGAATCCATTTAGGAATCAGCTAAGTGGTTCAGTGGATGGAGCCTTGGACATGGAGTCAGGAACACCTGAGTTCACATCTGGCCTCAGAAACTTACTACATGTGTGACCTTGGGCAAGTCACTTAACCTCTGTTTGCCTCTGTTTCCTCAATTACAAAATGGGGATCATAATGGCATCTACCTCTTAGGTTTGTTATAAAGATCAAATAAGATAATATTACTAAAGCACTTAGCACAGTGCCTGACACATAGTAGGTGCTATATAAATGTTAGCGTAATAACAAAACAAAACAACAACCCATGACCTTGGGTTGTTGAAGGCTGTGCCAGCAGAGCCCAAGCTCTGTCAGGCCCTACCAAACTAGAGAGGGCCTAAAGATATATTTGGAGAATCTCAAATCTCTCTAGACTTAGAGTTTGACCACATAGTGGTGACTTTTTTTTCTGGTCCTAGCCACTCATGAATACCATTTACTAAGTAAGGTACCGAGGGTAGTGATCTGCATTGATGGATGCTGATGAAATCACAGCTCCTAGAATATTGGGGTAGAGATGGCTTCCGAAGAGAGCCAAGAGAATACTTTGCCTGCTGCTAAGCCACAGAAAGGATAAAAGAAAGAATGAGATCATTCAGTATGAGCCTTTTAGAGGGAGCACTACATTATGATGGGCATTACTGATTCTACATTTATATGTTGGTTTGTCTCTTAGGCTCCACAAAGCCCATTACATCTCACGCCCTGAAAGCTGTGACCAATGATGAGGACAGTGCGGGAAACCGAACGGTCACTTTCACAGTTCTAAGTTCCCCCAACTTGGGAGGCTCATTAGGCTAGACTCTGGCAATGACACACAGGATGTTTCTGCATTTACACAACATGCGGTAAGTATCCTGATTCTGATGTGACTTCACTCTGATGGAAGCTGGGTGAGCTGGGCTGTGCCAGGAGGGCTCAGCCTTTGTCTCCTTCCAGTGCTTTTAGAACTGAGTAGGTGTAACCTCTTTGCCAGCTGTAGTGACGATGATCTTAAAACCAGAAGACTTCCAGGGGCCCTCACGTGGCACCAAATGGTTAAAAAGAGGTTTTAGTGGCTTCTAGTGCAATAGGAAGGCAGGTGGCCTGGCACTTGTTGTTTTATTAACATATGTGGAAGGTTAAGCACAGTATGGGAGAGAGCATGTGTCATGGTTGAGATATAGTTCACAGCCAGAAGGTTTATTACCTAATTTAAACCAATTTCCCTTGGGGAAATCCGTTTACCTCCCTGAGCCATGTTTTTTTCATCATCATCATCACCATCATCACCATCATCATTATCATTCCAGCTGCTATACCAATTATAATGTTACATGATTTATGTTGTAGATTATTATAGTAGTTAGAATTTATATAGCTCTTTTAGGGATTACAAAGTGCTTTACAAATATTATCTCACTTCATCCTCACAAACACCTCTGGGAAGTAGATGTTATTATTATCCTCATTTTGCTGATGGGGAAATTGAGACATGTAGAGGTTAAGTGACTTGTCCAGGGTCACACACAGTAAGTGTCTGAGGCTGGATTTGAACTCAGGTCTTTCTGTACAGAGCTCTAGTGTTTTACTCATTGCACAGGGTAAAAGGTAGAGTTTGGACTACTAGATGGTTTCTGAGGTCCTTTCTAGTTCTAAGATTCTGTGATTCTAAGAGGAATGGATTAAAAGGGGGAAAAAAAAGATTTGGTTGATTTTCCAGCCACATTGGGAACCTGTGTAACCTGACAGGTTATGCTTACATGAGATTTTATTGTTGGGCATTCTTGTGTACCGAGACATTCTGAAAGATTTATAGCACATGTAGAGAAGCATTGTGGTTTAGGAGAAAGGCTTCTGGACCAGGAATCATGAGGCCCAGGTTTGAATCCTGGCTCTGACAAGTCCTAGCTCTGTGACTATGAATAAGTCATGTTATTTATTTATTTGTCAATTTCTTCATCTGTAGGGCTGCTAGGTGTCATAGTGCATAGAGCACTGGTTCTGGAGTCAGGAAGACTCCTCCTGCTGAGTTCAAATCTAGCCTCAGACACTGGCTGTGTGACCCTTAACTCTGTTGGCCTCAGTTTCCTCATGTATAAAATGAGGTAGAAAAGGAAATGGCAAACCATTGCAATATCTTTGCCAAGAAAACCCCAAATAAAGGGGCAGCCAGGTGACACAGTGGATAGAGCACCAGCCCTGGAGTCAGGAGGACCTGTGTTTAAATCTGGCCTCAGACACTTGATATTTACTAGCTGCGTGACCCTGGGCAAGTCATTTAACCCCATTGCCTAGCAAAAAAAGAAAAACAAAAAACAAAAAAAGAAAACCCCAAAGGGAGTCAATGAAGAATCAGGCACAACTGAAATGACTGGTAAAACGTGGTTAATAATGCTTGTTCTGCCCACTCTGCAGGGTTCTTGTGAGAAAAGAAAGCACTTTGGAGATCTTAGGCTATATAAACATGAGTGATTATGTGATTAAAAATATATAACTACGCTGAAATTTAGGGGGGGGAAACATATTTTCCTTTTTGATGTGTGTTCACTTTTCAGTTCTGAAATATCCTCACTGTTGGCTGTGAGTTGAATAAACAGTAGTTGGAAAGATGTAAATCAGATGCTATTTGAGTGAACGAGAACTTGAATGGAAATAATAGAACTTCCCCACATGCCCACCTTTGACCTCAGAGTGGCCTCTGCTCAGGCTGAGGTGGCAGAATCCAGTTTGTCTTTGGCTTCCACATTGCCTTTGTTGGCGATGTATTTAGGGAGCAGGTCATATGGCTGGCAGGGGCACCAAGTGTGAGACTGAGAGGAGGAAGTATCAGTTCTGCTCTTCCAGCTCTCATGGAGAGAAATGAGTTTTGAAATACAAACCACATTATATGACGAGATTAATGTGGTAGCAGCCGCTCAGGATGGAAGCACAGCCTTGGTGGGTTTGGCTTCACTCTAGTGGCCACAGTTCCCTGTCCTTGCTCTCCTCAGTGCTTCAAATGCAATAAAAACAAACAAACATACTTTATAGAGCACCTTGCAATTTACAAAGCAATTTCCCATCCATCATCCCATTCAATCTTTATAACAAATAGCTCTTCAAGCTAGATTGTACAAGGATGGTCACCTCCACTTTACAAATGAAAGATATGAGTCTCACAGGGGTTAAGTGACCTGCTCAGTGTTACCCAGCTAGTAAGTGATGGTGGAACCGTGACCTGAACCCATGTCATCCATCTGCAAGTCCCAGGTCCAATGCATTTCTCACCACACTACCCTATAAGTATCTAAGAGAGCTAGGTGAATGCATAGGACCTGTCAGAAGACATTCCTCCATGCCAGTCATAAGAATAATAATAACTAAGATGGGTTTTCGTTGCCTGCTGTTAGGCGTCCCAGGTCACATATGTCTAGACTCTTCCAGAAGGTCTTACCAGCTCTGGGAATATGCAAGGTGGAGGTAAGTAGGAGAAATGGACCCCTTTGTATAGGTTTTCAGTTGTCTGGCTCTTCGTGATCTCATCTGGAGTTTTCTTGGCAGAGATACGAGTGGTTTGCCATTTCCTTCTCCTGCTCATTTCACAGTTAAGGAAACTGAGGCAAACAGGGTTAAGAGATTTTCCAGGGTCACAAAGCGAGTAAGGGGGCCCCCTAGGCTATTTATAGACTTCAGAAGGTACCTGAGCCATAATCTCATCAGCAAGGATTTATTCCACACCTACTATGCTTGTCATTTTGCAGTACTGGCTGGAGTGGGGGGTGGGGGTGGGGGATGTACAAATACCTTGTATTTATACAGCTCTTTAAGGTTTGCAAAAGACTTTACAAATATTACTTCATTTGATTCTCACAACTTAGGGGTAGGTGCTATTCCTCATTTTATAGATGAGGAAACTGGGCAGGGGTGGGGGGCAGACAGAGGTTAAGGGACTTGCCCTGAAAATGTCTAAGGGCTGAATTTGAACTCAGGTTTTCTTGACCCCAGGCCTAGTGCTCTGCTCACTGAACTGCCAGCTGCCTCAATACAAGAGGTATAAATGCTCAAGAGTTGAAAGGCCTCTTAGAGTTTACAGCATCATAAGCTTTTAAATTTATAATTGGAAGGGACCTTAGAACCCTTCTTCTCCAAACCCCTCATTTTATAGGTGAGAAAACTGAGGCATAGAGAGTAATCAGGTGAATTCATTTAGGCCAATGCCTGCCTGAAGTATACCATATCCCTTACAAATGGTCCTTTAGCTATTGGTTGAATACTTCTACTGATGGTGAACTCATTACCTCAAAAGACAGCCCATTAGCCTTTTTGGATTTTTCTAAATGTTACCAGATTTCCATGAGAAAAACACTTCCTAAATTGTAAAGTACTGTAGAAATATGAGTCTATCATTCTTGTTATTATTAGGATCACAGAATCCCAAATTTGGGATGGATCCCAGGCAAGAATTCCTTCTGTAGTATACCTGACAAATGGTAATCCTGTAGTGTTGAAGGACAGCCTTTGCCTCCCAACACAACTCATTCTGCTTTTGAGTGACTCTAGTTGTTAGGAAGTTTTTCCTGATGTTAAACCTAAGTCTACCCCCCTGAAATTTCCACTTCCTAGTTCTGTCAGCGGAACAAGCCTTATTTCTCTCTTCCACGTGAAAGCCCTCCAGATCCCTTAAGACATCTGTCCTGTCTCCAGTATGTCTGTCTAGGCTAAACATCTCCAGTTCTGTCTAGGCTAAACATCTCCAGTTCTGAAGCATATGGCCCTACCCTTATTTGCACAAAAGGCCAAAGTCTTCCCCTGCATCCAGCGCCATCTCCAGTCATCCTGATATGTATCTGGCCTCTGGGCCCTGATGGCTGTGGGGGAGAGAGTGAGGCTGGTGACTTTGCGCAACCCTTAAACACTTAAATCCAATTCACTTGCAAGTCATGGCATCAACTTCGAGATGTCATGGTCCTCTTTGAGAACAAAGGACAAACCACAATCAGAAAGAAAAGACTGACATGCTTGAAATAATTAGAAAACAGTCAGTCAGTAAGCATTTTTTAAGCCTCTGCTATGGGCCAGACACTGTGCTAAAACACTGGGGACACAAAGAGAGACCGAAGACAGTTTTTGCCCTTGAGGAGCTCACAGTCTAATGAGGGAGACAAACAAATATGTACAAACAACTTATGTACAGGATCAGTAGGAAATGATTTACTGAGGGAAGTAGAGGACAGAACAGCATGTAATCATGTATATTTGTGCAGTGCAGATGCTGTTTGGATGCTGTAGAGAAGAGTAGATCATTGATGTCTACCTTTTTCGAGGAAGACTTCTTTGGGACAGTTCTTTGATGAGAAGCAGGGTTGCTCTGGGTACACTTGTGTGTCTTCTTCAAGTGGCCATGGGGTCAAATGGGAACTAGAAGACTGACACTAAGGGAATTTGAGCTCTTATTTAGAAGCAGCTGGTGGCACAGGGGATAGAGTGCTAGGCCTCAAGTCAGGAGGACCTGAGTTCAAATCCGGCGTCAGACATTTCCTAGCTGTGTGACCCTGGGCAATTCAGTTAACCTTTATTTAACTCAATTTTCATCTGCCTCCTAGGGTTTTTGTGAGGATCAAATGAGATAATATTTGCAAAACACTAAGCACATAGTAGGCATCATATTGCTGTTGTTATCATTATCTCATGTTCTTGTCACTCACCCGCTATGCTATGAGTTTCTATATAACACAAGGTGCACGTCTTGTATCAAGTACAACTTAATTGTTGAGTCATAATATTTTATTGGGGTGAATGGAAATGTAATGACCTATTGCCTCATTAGAAAAAAATAATAATCACTGCCAAAAACAGTTACATGATGAGATCCTGACGATGAGGTTGTGTGATATCACAAATGTCATTCAGTCTACGGACATTTGTCAAACACCTACCATGTGTCGGGTACCATGCTAGGTTCTGGGAATACAGAGACAAAAATGAAACAGTTCTTGTCTCCCAAGGTGCTTATGTTCTGCACATACATATGTGAGCATACACATAACATATATGAGGTAGATGTTGAGAGAAAGACACTGGCATCTGTAGGGGGAAGAAAGACTTTACGTAGAAGACAATACTTGTAGGAAGAGATTCTAAGAAAGGGAAATGAGGAAGGAGTACCTTCCCAGCCCTGAGGGAGAGCCTGGGCAAAGACACAGAAAGGGGACATCAGAGTGTTGTATATGAGGAACACAGGACACTAGAGGCCAGTTTCTAATTAAGAGGTTTATGGATGGTGGTGTGGTAGCAAAGGAAAAACAGTTAAGAGATATAAATTGAACCTGTCACAATACTCATAATCACTGAATACAGGCTGAAAGAATGTAGTATAGGAAAGACTTAATTAGGCAGTCAGCCAGGCTGAGCCTGACGTATAGAAGGAGCTGATGCTGCAGAGGAAGCAAATTGGTTAATCTCTGACGGCCCTCCCCCATTCCCATGATCCTCATTGACCTTTTTTCTCCCTGTTCCAGTATTAGTCTTGAAATTTCTCTTCTTTTTCCTTCCCCAGCAGAGAAAAGAGACAGGGGCTGGGGTCAACCCTGGTAGAGTTAGCAGTATCTAGCACACACATACTTTAAGGATCTTAATGTTCCTTGTCATTGGCAGCCCTTCTGCCCTCTTCCTCCTTTCCTGCCTGCCCTACTATGTGTTCTTAAGCCCTTCAAAGTTCAACCAGGAAGCAGGGCTGGGGTACAAATTATCCACGAACTACCGAAATTACTTGTTTCCTCCTTTCATTCCATTGTGGTTTGTGAACCTGAAAATGTTATGAATGTTAGCAAGTCCCATCAGATCAGAGGCCTTCCAGATTACAATCATCTGATGTACCAGGTTCTGCTCTGCACCCCTCTCCCCAGTCTTCTCACAGTCTGTCAATCAACAAGCATTTGCTAAATATCAGGCTTATGTGTGCGCGCACACACACACACACACTCTCTCTCTCTCTCTCTCTCTCTCTCTCTCTCTCTCTCTCTCTCTCTCTCTCTCTTTCTCTCTCTCCCCTTTGCTCTCTGATGGCTGCAGGTGATACTTGGAACCTGATGTAAAGAAACATGTACTAGCAATGCATTTTTTTCCTACTGTCTTCACATTCACAGCTCTGTTAACTTTATTAATTTTCTGTTAATAAGTTCATGCCTATTTTAAAATTTCCTTCCTCCATACATTCTTCTGTCATCTTCTCATTTACCTACTTCCCTTCTTATCTCTTCCCCTTTTATCCCCCTTCCCCTAGTTTTTTTTGCCTTCTCCTTTTCTTGCCTTTTCTTTCTTCTTATCCCCTTTCCCCTTTCCTTCTTTCTCTCTCTTCTCCCTTTCATCTTCTCCTAGCCTCTTCTCTCTTTCCCTCCTCTCTCCTTTTCTATCTCCTAGACTCTTTCCTTTTTCCTTCTTTCTCTCTTTCCCCTTTTTCTCTCCCTCTTTTCTCTTTCATCTTCTCCTAGCCTCTTCTACCCTCCCCCTCCCTTAATCCTCTCTTTGGGATAAACTGGATGATGAGAGATTAGAGCTAGAAACAAAAATTTGAGAGTTGTATGCATAAAGGAGATAAAAAGACCAGGGGGAGCAGATAAAGTTGCTAAGGCAGAGAGTATAGAGAGAAAGGAAGAGGGTCCAGGACTGAACCTTGGGGGATATCCATGCTTAGAGGAGTAGAGTGTAAGACATGGATGGTGATCCAGCAAAAGAGACTGAAAAGATAGTCGCATTCATGTAGGTGGGGAAAAAAGATAAAAAAGAGAGAGAAAACAGGGTCGTGGAAGAGTAACCAGGGGGTGGGGGTGTGCTTAACAATGTGAAAAACCACAAAAAGACCAGAGAGAAAGAATAGATCATGGGATTAAGAAATGAAGAAGTCATGCATTGGTAACTTCTCAGAGGACACTTTTTAGTAGAATAGTAGGAAGTAGAGGGTTGTGATTGCCTCCCAACTCTGATGTTGTATAAGGTCCTTTCCAGCACTTAACATATTTTTGGCCCTAAGAGTAAGGTGTTAATAATGGGAATAGATAATAGTGATGTCTAACAGTTCAAATGACATTTGAGGAAAATTATGAAACTGTTTCCTATAGAAAGCCCCTAAAACTTTAAAGTGGTAGGAGAAAAGAATTATTGGTAGATGAGGCACAAAGAATATTAAGAGATATAAGCCATAAAACATGTTAACAAAGAAGATATTTGAGTTTAATTTTAATTTATATATATATATATATATATATATATGTAATATAGCTTCTGTGTTTGAAAATATGCAGTGTATTTCTCAGCAAAGTGTATTTCTTTTAACTATTGTGTTGCTGATGGGTAATTAGTCTTTTCCTCTTCCCTCCCTTCCCATTCTCCTCTTTTGTTCCCCTGTCTCCTTTTTGCCAGCAGATGGAAATGCTAATCTTTTCCTGATGTCTGTGGTTATGTGGCCTGTGTCAAATAATGCTGTAGTTGCCACCCACTTTTAACTTTATCCCTTTTTAAAGTCATCCCTTTTACAATGTTTGCTGCAGGCACCCTATGTTAGCTAGATAACATTTTGGCAATGAAAGAAATGGTAGAGTCAGTTCTATAGTAATGGTGGTGGTGGTGAAGATGCCCAGAACATTTTAACTTAAATTAGTTAAAAAATATCTATTAAACACCTGTTACCTGCCCAGCCTCACTCACTAGTGAAACAAAAACGGCACCCATGAAAGAACTGGTGAGCAATCAGTTGCTAACTGAGGGTGTTGTTCACTGTAATTATGAAAGGAGTTAAGATTCAGCAATGCTAAGTCACTGTCAATTTTTCCTCTAGTTATGGTTTCATTGGTTATTATAGCTGAAACTATAACAAACCCACCATTTGCCTCAGAATTCATAGAAAAGTATTCATAGATTTTGAGCTAGTAGGACCCTCAGAGGTCATCTACTTCCTTTTACAGGTAGAGCAACTGAGACCCAGTTTCTTGGACAGCTGACTTGGTAAGTGGTATAACAATTATGCTTCAACACCCCTCAGTAGTCATGGATTCTACAACTCAAAGCTTGGTGGGACAGAACTAGTGTCTACAACATATACAGATGGGTTGGCTCACCACTACAAAAACTTTCTTATCCCCTGGAAATATATTGTTATTTTGTGACTACGTATCTAGTAATAGTCCAGACATAGAATCCTACAGTGCTCACGTTGGAAGGGACCCTAAAGTTCATCTCATCCAATCCCTCTCATTTTTTAGATGAAAAAAATAGTGTCCAAAAGAATAAAACAACTTGTCCAAGGTTACATTGTGAGTTAGTAGCACAGAATTAGGTCTAGAGCTCATGTCTCCTAATTCCCGTTCTGGTAGTCTTCATTCTTAGGTATGTGAGAGACTCCCTTTCTTACTTTATTATTAAAAGGCTTTATTAGAGGGACAGCTAGGTGGTGCAGTGGCTAGAGCTCTGGCCTTGGAATCAGGAGGACCTGAGTTCAAATGTGGCCTTAGACACTTGACACTTACAAGCTGCGTGACCCTGGGCAGGTCACTTAACTTTGATTGACTCACCCCCCCCCAAAAAAAAGCTTTTATTCTTTAGGGGCAGCTAGGTGGTGAAGTGGATAGAGCACCGGCTCTGAAGTCAGGAGGACCTGTGTTCAAATCCGGCCTCAGACCAAACAGTTGACACTTACTAGCTGTGTGACCCTGGGCAAGTCATTTAACCCCAATTGCCTTAAAAAAAAAAGGCTTTATTAGAGCTAGATGGGACCTTGGAGTTATCCCAACACCATTATTTTACAAATGAGGAAACTGAGGCCCAGAGGTGGGTAGTGATGTGCCCAAGGTCATATACCTTGTAAATGCATATAGCTGGGAATTGAACGCAGAACCTCTGACTCCAAATTTAGCATCCTTTCTACTCCAACACCCTATCTTTCTGAAGCTGAGCTTCAGAAAATAATACCAGTTAAAGTTGTGCCTTATAGGAATGCCAATGCAGAGAAATGAGGAGTGGGAATGGCTAGCATGCTCAGCCATAAAAGAAACCTGTCTGGCCAGGAAAGTCATGGGGACAGGCCATCCTATCACTAAGCCTACTGCTTGCTCCCTTTGGAAATGTATTGGCCTCAACAGTCTCCATGGTAACTCTCCAGTTTGGGAACTGGCACAGACACATCCCTCTTGCCCCCTGTTGCCCATTGCATTTGGTATTCCAGTGAAATCTGGGTTGACCCTGCATAACCTCTGTTTGTTCTTTGTGATTAGAATTTGATCCAGGCTCTCTGTCCAGGGAGGGCTCTTCCCTGTTAATTCCCCTTAATCCCTGGCATACATAGGCCCTCAGAGGTTGGGGCCCACCGTGCCAGTGATTGATAACTTTATTTCCAGCTCCCCCCCACCATACACACACACACACACACACACATACACCCCCACCCCAGATAAACTCTGTCCTCCGCCCATGACAACCACAGTCCTCCAGTGAGGCTGTGGCCACAGAGCAGACCACTCTAGCACCAGCCACATTTTGGGGCAGCCTTGAATGAAGGACTAAGTGGTTCTGGAGTTAATGGGGTTAGCTGCCCTCCCTGCTGGCAGCACCACTTGCTCCCAGGATCCTTTCACTAGAAAGGAAGAATATCTTCTGGGGTTTCTGCTCTGTGCAAATTATTCATGGGCACCCCCCAGTGGACATTCCCCACAGCCCAATGCAAAGTAGCCTTTGTCTTATCTGGCAAGGATGTGCTGTCCATTGGGCCAGCTGCTACCTAATGGGAAATAGCTCCTTCTTGGACAATATGGAATGTTTTCCCCAGAACTTCAGGAGATTTATGACACACATACAACCACTTTAGCCTGAAGTTACCACCCTTTATTCATAGCCAGTATGGTGAGACAGCTAGGTAGCCCAGTAGATAGAGCACTGGGCCTGGAGTCAGGAAGACCTGAGTTCAAATCCAACCTCACACACTTACTAGCTGTGTCATTCTGGACAAGTCACTTCTGTTCACTGTAAGCCACTGGAGAATGAAATAGCAAACCACTCAATTATGTTTGCCAAGAAAACCCCATGGACAGCATGGTTCACAGAGTCAAAGAGCTGAACATGACTAAATGAACAACAACATGGAATGGTGGAGAGAAAGCTAACCCCAGAGTCCGGAAGGCCTGAGTTCAAGTGCAGTGTCTGATACATCCTCACTCTGTGATGATGCGCTGGTCACATTTAATTTCTGAGTGCTCCCAGGCAGTTCTCTAAGGCTCCATTGTAAAGCCAGTACCAGCCTGCGTTGGTAGAGAGAGTTCCTTCTATCAGTGAAATCACAAATTCCATTAAAAAAAAAACCCATCACAGGCTATTCAAGCAGCGAGGGACCATGGCAGATTATAACAGCTCCTTCTGGATCCTAAGGCAGGACTTGGCCTAGGATTCCCCTGCCCTGATGGATCAGTTTTTCAAGGGTTTAGCCATGTCTGTCTGTGATGAAGCAGCCCAGCTGCTAACCTAACTGATGCTATCCAGAAGTATGTGCACAGAGTCCTGCCCTCGGAGGAGTTCAAAGGTGTAGTGATCCCTCCAGCATTTGCCCAGCCTGTCTATGAGTAGCTAAGTGTGTGTCTGTACCACCCAGAAGGTGCCACATCAGATCAGCCCTGCTACCCAGACATCCACAGACTAGTCACAAGAATACCCTCTTCCTATCCAACCCCAAGACTGATCAATCCCCGTAGCCCATCCAATTCTGTATTTGTTCCTTTTTTAGGCAATTGGGGTTAAGTGACTTGCCCAGGGTCACACAGGTAGTAAATGCCAAGTGTTTGGTCTGAGGCCAGATTTGAACTCAGGTCTTCCTGAATTCAGGGCCGGTGCTCTATCCACCACCCAGCTACCCCTGCTCCTAACTCTTAAAATTAAACCTCCTTACCACTATGTGCTGTCAGTCCCAGTTTTGTTAGACTTGGGGACCTCTACCAATTTTTTGGATTTGTCTTCACCATAACTGAGGTTGAGTGCCCGTGTTTGAAAGGACCAGTGTTTTCCTGACTTAGCTTCCCTGACTCCCCCTCCCCATCCTTCATTAGTTCCAGCTTCCTTGAAACTATCTGGGAACTTAAGAGGTCCCAGCCCCATATAGTCAGTGTATCTTAGACTTGGCAGGTGCCTGCATCACCAAGCCCTATTTCCGGGTGGAGACAAGGGAGTCTTCATCCAGAGAAACTAAGACATTCTTGCTGTATATCCTTGCTGTGTTGAGACAAAGTAAACTCCCGTGTCCAATGGCCCAAGAGTGCCTCATTTGAACCTAAGTTCAAACCTGGGGTTAGAACTGTCTCTACAGTACCTTGGAACCCCATGCATGCCTGGTGATAGTTGAAATGATTCCTGAATGCTCATTTTGGTTCTGATTGATGATCCAGGAGACTGAATTCCTGTGCATTTAAGTTAGGGAATATTGAAAAGTATTCAGCCCAGCTGGAGCCTGCTCCCCTCTATCCTCCCCAGGGTAGCTGTGGGCTCCCTGGGTGGTGTTGTAGGATGCAACCATTGCATGAGGATCAGGGTGAACTGAAGCTCAGGCTTACATTTTCCTCCCAGCATCACTCAAAGCACTGCATGGAATAGATGAATGTCTTATCCAGCCACATGGCATTATACACCCAGGTGGAAACTCACCAGAGGGACCTTGATACATTTAGGGAGTGGAGATGAAAAACTGAGAATGGGAGCCCATTGTTCATGTAAGAAGGCATGTGTTGGGTAGATATGAAAATACATTTTAACAAGATTCTGCAGTGGGTAACTGAGCCAAGTGCAGCACCAGAGGTATCACACATGTGACCGGTAACATTCCAAGGGCACCCCAAAACTACGTTAAAATGTAATTGAGAAATATTTAACAAAATAAATGAAAAAATAATTTATTGTTGTTCAGTTGTTTAGTCGTGGCCAACTCTTTGTGATATATATGGGGTTTTCTTGGTAGAGATATTGGAATGGTTTGCCATTTCCTTCCCCAGTGTATTAAGGCAAATGGGATGAAGTGACTTGCCCATGGTCACCTAAGTAAGTGTCTGAGGCTAGATTTGAACTCAGGTCTTCCTGACTCCAGGCCCAACACTCTATCCACTGAGCCACCTAGCTGCCTCAAAAATGTAATAAAATATAGACAACATTGCATTTTGAAACTAAGTCAATCTGTGCCCCACAGGTATCCATATGTATGTGTGTTGTGTGTGTGTGTGTGTATGGATTAGGGGCCTGTATTTCTCTTTGAGTTTGATACTCCTGGGTTAGGCTATGCTTTTAGCACTGTTGAGCAGAGATGTCATCCCCATCTGTGCTATTGCATGATCAGCTTCTTCCCTGGGGCACCTACTCCAGCTGACTGAATTTACTCATTGGCCACCCCAGAGACTGCAGGAGTTTCTGTAAATGAGCTGGTAGAAGGAATTCATCTGATCCTCTAGGTTTCCCACCAGAACCTCAATACTGTTTGTCAAGCAGAGTGAGAAGTTAGAGCTCTGCTTGACCACACAGCCTGGAAAGCCATCACCACATGAAATTAGTATTCCTCGCCCTTGATCCTTATTCTACTACACCAGTTGGCTGGGATGCCAAGGTTCACCTTTCCATGGCCTATCACCGACTATATAGAGTGCATGAATTGCACTTCTTAGATGCTCTACTCTCTGCCTACCATAGAATCCTATGAAAATAATGTGGTTTGATGGCCTGTATGGAAATAGTTTTGCATGACTTCACGTGTATAATCAATTTCATATTGCTTGCCTTCTCAAGGGATAGGGTGGGGATGGGAGAGAGGGAGACATTTTTGAGCTCAATTTTAAGAAATGAAGATAAAAATTTTTAAATGTAATTGAGAAATATTTAGCAGAATAAATAAAACTGTATTTAAAAAATAAGTAGGATAATGTGGTTTGCTTTTCAACCTCCAAAGGACACCTTTTTATATGAACTATATAAATTCCATCCCCAGT